AAATTTTACCGATCAATCACGAGTTTGGTCTTCGAGTTATTTATACTCGCCCAGTCGGAATTTAACTGATCAATCACGAGTTTGGTCTTCGAGTTATTTATACTCGCTCAGTCAGAATTTAACCGATCAATCACGAGTTTAGTCTTCGAGTTATTTATACTCGCCCAGTCGGAATTAATCACGAGTTTGGTCTTCGAGTTATTTATACTCGCCCAGTCGAAATTTAACCTATCAATCACGAGTTTGGTCTTCGAGTTATTTATACTCGCCCAGTCAAAATTTAACTGATCAATCACGAGTTTGGTCTTCGAGTTATTTATACTCGCCCAGTCAGATTTTGACCGATCAATCACGAGTTTGGTCTGAACCATGAACTATATATGTCAAATTGAAAAATTAATATTTATTGATTACTTGTGCCTCGTTAAAAACCTTCTCAGGAAAAAACCATTTCACACTTTTTATAGGGATAAAATATTGAGCTAGGAAAAGAGTACACTTGATAAAAAACCTTCTCAATTTTTTGCTGCTCTTTTATTGATCTGTCCTTCCTCCGTCTTTATATGGCTCAGGGTGAAAGTTCTTACCTTCGAAATCGTTTGACAATTTTCTCTTTCCAGTGCGACGTCGAAATCACCTGACCTTAGTCCCTTTTGAAATGCGATGACCGCCATCTTCTCGTCCAAGGATGCTATCCTCAAAGCCACTTTATTAAACCTTTGCAAAAAGTCCTTCAACGACCCCTCACGTTGCTGCTTGAGATCGAACAAATCTGACGTGATCGGTGGTTTCCTCTTATTTGCCGCAAATTGTGCCATGAAAAGCTGACTGAAAACATCAAAGTTGGTGATCGATTGGTCAGGAAGACCGCTGAACCAATCGAGGGCCGCCTTTTTTAGCGTTCCCATGAACAGTTTGCATCGGACTTCCATACTCCCCTCACATATGAACATCTGAGTGCGCAAATCTGTTAGGTGTTGAATAGGATCCTATGTCCCATCAAAAGGTTCCACCTGGGGGACTCGGTGGTCTCTCAGAATGATTTCGGCCTCTATAACCTCCGAGAAAGGTCTAAAGTCCCTTGGGACTTGCGTCATCACGTCTTCCTCCGCCATTCTGATATTAGTTGCCATCATGGCTTGCATCTTATCGACTTGGCCTCCTCCCTTTCCCTGGATCACGCATTCTCCTCTCTTAAGTCGTTGATCAATGCCATCATCTCCTCCATAGTAGGGTGTTGTGGGTCGTGGTTTGGTGCGCTGCCTCTCGCCATTTTTCGTAGCTTTTTGTTCTTCAAGTTTTTTTGTGTGTGTTTCTTGGGGCGTAAGGAAAGTTTCACCGTAGCCCCACGGTGGGCGTCAAAATGTTCCGGCCAAGGGAGCGTCTAGGGTTCTTCTCCTAGGTCAGGCCTCCAAAGCTAGAACATTCAAGAGTGTAATCTTCCGTCTTAACTCTAGGGTTTTAGGTTTTATACTTTTCTGTTCATGGGCCACCTGGGCCTTTGTGAGTGCGAGGATTTCCATAACGGTTTTCCTTGGGAATATTTGATTATCAAAGATAGGCTTTTCATCCTTGATTCTCGGACCAGTCCAAAGGGTGAGACCCGCTCGGACTTTGGCCAACCATACCTTGACCGAGCTCATCATGGCCGAGCACACCCTGGCCGATCTCACCATGGCCGAGCACACCCTGGCCGATCTCACCATGGCTGAGCACACCATGGCCGATCTCACCATGGTCGAGCGCACCCTGGCCGACCATACCTAGGCCGAGTTCGTCTAGAGGGTGGGTGAGATCGCGGTCCGACTGATCTCACCTGCCGACCGAGAAGACCCATATTCAAGATTCATCATATCAAAACCTGTAAAGGGTATCAGATCGAGATCCGACTGGGACGGTACACTTGCCTTCCTACCCTAAGCCTATAAGGCGCAAGGGCTTAACTGTCCCTGAGATCGAGTCCAGATCGGATTCCGACCGAACTCCCCCGAGATCACCCTCGTGGGAGGGGATCAGGTCAAATTGCGATTGTTTCGATGCCTGGGCCAAAATCAGGTCGGCCCTTTTTCGACTCTCCCCTTAGTGTGCCGATACGGTACAAAAAAATAAATAAACAACACACAGCTTATTAAAAACTTGAGAAATTTTAGAAATACATCACCTAACGTATTATTTTAAACAAATTTTTCTGTTAGCTGCAATTTATTAAAGTTTAAAAATTTATAAATATGACTTATTTATTTGATGAATCTCTTTGATAAATGTAAATTTTTTTAATAAATTTTAATTAATAGACGACAAAGAACGTACCAAAATTATTGATAACTAATTTTTGTAAAAAAAAAATAGTTACCTACTTTAGAATAATCTCCTCTTTTAATTAATAGTCGGATCCATAATTATTTAAGAAATTAATCTAATTCTCCGACTCAAAATAAAAATTTGATGACTTGAAAATGTACATAATAAAAACATCTCTTTTTATAAAATAGTCAAATCATAACTTTTAAATTATAAATAATAATAAATAATAATTGACATTAAAATTCAATTATAAAATTATCTATTATGACTATTATAATTGTCAATCTTTATGTATATTTTCATCACTATTTTCGCCATAGTTAACATTATTATCACCATCTTCATTACTATCTTTATTATTATTAGAATCATTAGTAACAACAATAATAAAATTTATAAAAATGATTTCAAGTGTCAACAGCTACAATAATACACAATAATTAGTTATAGTAAAAGTAGAAGTAGATAGTAGTAATAATAGTAAATAGAAGTAGGTGGTAGTGATAATATCATAATAATAGTAAGTAGAAGTAGATGATAGTAATAATTGTAGTCTTAGAAACAATATTAATAATCTCCAAATAAATGTGTTTATAATTAAATTTTAATTTTAATGATCTCAATTATTATTATAAAATACATTTAAGTAAATCATACCAATATAATTAATTGTAGTAATTAATCTTATTGAATTCATAAAAGAAATTGGATGTATTGAGCACACATGCCATGGCCGTTTATTAATTTGGAATTTTCCTCCGACACCGACCCTTCCATCTTTCTCCCTTCATCCATTGCTCTGCTTGCCCCATTGACAACGAAAGAAAAGGAGCGCCCATGTACCACTTTTTTAAAATAACCCACTTTCCCCTCTAATATTCGCAGCCTTTGCATTACGAAACGTTGTCGTTTGGACCCCACACCCCCCATTCCCAACCAAACACTGGAGCCCAACTTAACGGACACAAAACTTGGCGCTACGTCGCTAAATGCAACTAACATACACTTGCCGTGATCCTCATTTTCAGGACCCAAATCCAACGCAAGAAAACACTACCAACAAGTTGAGATAATTAATTAAGAAATACTACAACTATATGTCTATATCCACACCAACTACGTGGGAACTGGGAACAAACAACTTTGGTCAAAAGCACGAGCGTTTCAGTTGCATTATAGTAAAAGTGAGCAACAAACACCAAAAGGAGGATCCACCCTTTCCTCCGCTCCATCAAATCAACACCAACACCAACACCTTTCCTTAGCCTAATTAAAAATAATAATAATAATATAAAATATAACAACCCACCCAAGCATGGATTTTTAAGTGACCAAGTATATGGGCATGGCCGAGGTGGACATCCTCCGCTGTTGTTGTTGTTGTTGTTGTTGTTCCATGTTGAGTTCCCTAAGACTTAAGTACGGCGTGTCCACGTCATCCTTGGTTAGGGTTCCGGCGAGTGGGCCGGAGGAGGGGCGGGTGGTGGTGCGGTAGGGGGTGGAGGAGCCGCTTCGGGTCTCGGTCCAGTAGACGGGGCCCGAGACGGAGGCCCGGAAGGCCCGAGCGCGGGCCTGGTGGACGTCGTCGGGGTGGCGGGGGTGGGCCCAGCGGCACTTGAAGAAGAGGAGGGCGGTTCTCCACCAGCGCTTCTTCTTGGCCTTGTGGGCCTTGGCCCGCGACTCGTCCTTGGAAATGGGCTTCTGGAGTTTGAAGTGGATGGAGTCTATGGATCTCGCTGTGTCGCGCTTGTGCTTCATGGCTTCCTCCAATACCTATTATATTCGGAGAGGAGAATCACAAACATGGTCATAAGTAGCAACATTGTTATTACAAAGGAGAGAGTTTTGCAATACCTGGAAATAGTTGATTTGAGGGTCGAAGCCATAGTCGCTGAAGTGTTGGGGGTCTGAGATGGGGAAAACTGGGGACTTGGTGGACATTATTGTGAAATTCTTCGAGTTTTGCCACAAACAGAAAGAGAGAGAGAGAAGAAGAAGAACTTGGGGGCTCAAGAAAGGGGCGTGAGGGAGTTGGTAAACACAAGTAAATGCGATTCAGAGTTCACATCCTTTGGTATCTTCCATTTAATAACGTCATTTATTAGCTTCCTAGGCAAAACGTTACTCGTAATTGCTGCTGCACTTCCAAATATCCACCTCAACCAAATGAAAAAATACTCACATACCACAAATGAATAACAATACTTAAATCACTTTCCACTACTATTTTTTAATACATTAAAATTTAGATAAGTTATCTAGAAGAGTTTCTTATAACAGCGACTACTAATCTTCTCCCTACATTTGAGGTATCTCAAAAAATGGGATAATTGACCTAAGATTTAACGCAACTGAATACATAAAGCAGGATTCGAACCCCTGACATTGCTTAAGCGTGAATCATGATAATCTTATTTAAACACTACATAACAATTATGGAGATATTTATATATTCTTTATTAACAAAATTCTCACATAAAAATAAATTAAATTTACATTTTTTTTAAGAATTTGTATATTTTTTATCGATGAATTAATTTTTATAAGTATATGATCCATAAATTTTAGAGTTAAATATATTTTTAGTTTTTATATATTTAACAAATTTTAATTTTAATATCTGTAAATTTTTTCTTATGTTTTTGGTGACGTGTCGTTACTAGAGAATAATTGCCCATTCGATTGTATAGTACACTAACCACGGAAGCCATGAGCTAAAACAGTGAAATGGCGTAATGAAGCTTGGTTGGTTGGCCACTAACCGTGTAGTATAATATTAAATACACTCACATATACCAAGATTATTTCAATAGTAACTTCTAATTCAAACTTTTTAATTAGTAAGAATTAAATTAAACTTTAAATATGTAGTTAAATTAAATTCATATTTTATTTATAATGTAAAGTAGAAACTCTTTAAATTAATAATGTCAGGACCAGAGAAATTTATTAATTTAGAGAGTTATTAATTTATCGATAAATTAATAATTATTGATTTAAAGAGTTTTTAAGTAATTATATTGTACATACCAAACAAAAAGACAAATTAGTTTATACCTCTTAGAATTACGTTGCAGCGAACCTTGAGACTCAACGTAAATTAGTAATTTTTGAAGTACATATGCATTGGAAATGAATAATGACTTTTGAAGTACAGTAAATGTAAACAAGAGGAAAACAGATAACTATTGAATTAAATTTTAACAGAGTGTAATATATTTTTTTCAGTTTCTATGAATTATTAATTTATGATTTTCTTGGGACCAAAAATTATAAAGAGATCTCCCAAAAAATTATTATTTTATTATTTTATCAAATTTTTCAATTTTTTACATTGGCCCAAGTCGGGACCAGACAAATTTATTATTTTAGAGAGTTTATTAATTTACCGAGTATTAATTTAAAGAGTTTCTACTATATATAATACATGTTCATTTTACATATTTAAAGTTATAATAAATTGTTTTAAATATATATAATTAATTTTTTTAATAAATATTCTAAATAAATAAGTTATATTTTAGATTTATAATTCTATTTGTTCTATAATAAATGTTGTGCATGAAAAAAAAAAGTTACAAAAGAAGTATTATATTAATTTTTCAATATATTATTAATTGTCTGTTTCTTTTATGTCTTTCGTAATATTATTTAGAAAATAGTTATTATGTTACATTGTTTTTAAGAAAGAAGAATAATTATAAGATTAATTTTATAAATTATTATAATTCATTTATTTATTAGCTTTTTATGTGTAAAACAATTTAAGATGACACTTACTATTAGATATAGCAATTATTTTTAAGATTCTAATTTTTTTCATTGTCGAGCAATAAAAATCACCATAAAATAATTTTGAAAATAATTATTGTAAAAGATAATAAACTTACAATATATGATAATTATTTATCAAATGATAACATAAATTAAATTTATACTTCCTTCATCTCACTATAGTTTAAAGTTTTTATACACATACTAAGAAAAATAATAAATATATTACATTTTGATACAATTTTGCTAAAATAATTCGCACATCAATAAATGCATTACTTTAAGTTGTATGGTCAAATAATTTATGAAAAGACAAATTAGAAAGAAAAAAAATTAATATTACATTAAAAAGTGAGAACATAATTTATTTTAAAACACTTTACAAATGTTAAAACTCTAGGATCTTTGTAGAGAAAGGAGTATATATTGTCTATGCATAGACTAATTTATTTTTTAATTATTAACTAGTAGTTTAATAGTAAATGGTTATTTATATAACAAAATATATGATAAATAAATACTTTTAAATATATAAATTATACCATAACTAGTAATTAGTCTTTGCAATGCACAAGCTAAAATATTTATTAAATGTAACTAAAATCTATGATAAATTATATATAAATATAAATATTATATTTACACATATAAATCATATTTAAAATTTTTATAAATAGATATTTTTAAATATATAAATTATATTTTAAATTTATGATAAGTAGTCTATATTATAATATACTATTATTTTTAGTTATTGATAATTTATTTTAAAAATATTAAAAACTAATTCATAATAATTATGATAAATAAACAACCAAATTAGATAAGAAGCTTAAAATATTTCTAAAAATTCTTTTGTTGAAGAAAAGTGTCTAAATACATTCTCACATAAGATAAAGATTTGTGTTTATAAGAATTCATTAAAATTCATAACAAATAAATATCTTTAATATATAAATTTTATTTTAAAATTATAATAAATAATTTATATTGTGATATAAAATTATTTTTGATTATTGATATGTTTAAAAAAAATATGGAAATTTAATTTAATTATAAATAAAAATTGATATATTTGAAAATATGAAGTTAAGAATAATTCATAAAAACATTATCATTGAAGAAAAATAACTAAAAATATTTTCATTAGAGAATGGTTTCTAAAATCACCTTCATTTAAAAAAAATATATTCTAATTTATATAGAGAGAAGGATTAGACATAAATCACATCAAAATTAATTTCTTGTACAAAACGAGAATGGCCAATTATTAAAATGGATGAGTTATATTAAAAGACTTAAAAGTAAAAAAAATACAATTGTTACCATTAGTCCATTATCATCATTATTACTATCATCACTAACAGACATTGTTGACATCACCATTATTTTCATTATTACCCCTCTATCATTGTTGTCGCACCACTTCCTTCCTCTATTTTTAAAATTCTTCATTTAGTCATTCAAATTAAAATGTTTAATTTAGCCATCTAATTCTTAAAAAAAATATTTTACATTATTCATTTACATGATTTTACTAGTCAATAACTTAGATAGAAGGATAACATTGAATATTTTATAAAATTAGAAAATTAAATTAAATAATTTAAAATCAAAAAGACCAAATTAAATAATATAAATAAAAAATAGAAAAAAGTAATTTAGTCATTATTATAAAATATATATATAGTTCTATAATCTTTTTTAATTGAGTCAAGTCATTAGCCGACTTTCAATTACATTATTTTTATGTACAAAATTTAAACTTGAGGCTATAACAAATACAAATTAATAACTTGTTGATATGCTACAATGCCTTTTATTTATTTATTTTTCTATGGAAGGTATTAGAATTGGTTTTAAAAAATTACATAATTATCATTTTTAAACTAGAAACTGACTACGGATTAAAAAAAGGATAAATGGATAAAAAATTAAAAACTAACTTTCTCTTTAAAAAGAAACACGAATATGGAGTCCATAATATCAGTGTCTTTAGTTGTTTTACCAAATCAAAAAACGAAAAAGAAAAAATCCAAAACAAGTTTACAAGTTAACGTTGTAATTCTTGAATAATTAATTAACGCATTTCCATCCACATCCTTGTCGGCTTTAAGCTTTTCAAAAGCTAATAATATATTTCGTGGCTGTTTCTTTAGAGTTAAGAAAAAATAATTTGAATAAATTTAATTTTAAAATATTAAATATAATAAAATATATATTTAAATTAATCTTTATTAAAAAATTATAATTAGAATATATAGAATGTAAGAAATAAATTTTTAATATAAAACAAACAAACTTTTCATTCAACATATATGTTAGAATTATTAGGGTACGAGATATTTCTCCTTACATCAACTCCTAAGTTATATTCGATATTTAATTTGGCGTATCGAGACAAAAGATTTTATCAACAATCAAAGTCAAACTTAGTATAAATTATGAAAGAAAAAAAAAAATTACAATCATGCAACGTCATATTAAGTGGGAGGGTAACGAAGTATAGCACAATTTCAAAATGAAAGGATAATGAAGAAGATTTTGTTGTTTCATTTCAGGCAGTTTCGTACAAGGATAAACTACTACAGGAGGAGAACACTACAACATAAACCTATCAAGATTACGTGAAAGACTTCTTTCTTCCGGAAGAACGTTGTTACAAAGACAGAGATACACCAGACCAACTCTGATGAGCTTGACCCTTGCGAGTGGTTACAAATTTTTATGCATGAGTGAGTTTGTTTAAACTTATTGAAAAGTGATTATAAAAAATGTTTCTTAAAATTTAATTTAAAAAAAAAAAAAGAAGAAAAAGATAAATTTACTTCTTTAAAAATAGAAAATTATTTATTTAAAAAAAATAAGTAATTTAGACGAATATATTAAAAAAATACATTTTATTAAAAAAAACATATTTTTAAGAAAATAAAAAATTAAACAAACGGGTTCATTGGACAATTGGACCATAAATGCTAAGCACTTTTCAGAAGCACAAAACGTCTAGTCCATTGAAATTTCAATTCACCTCAAAGTTGAATTATTATTGTTGGACACCTATAACTCCCAAACGGATTTGGACCCATGATAATTGGGCCACAGTGTTGATCTAATTTGCCACTGAATGTAGGCCATGTTATTCACACACCCGTTTTTGATAAGCTTACACCTAAAATAAAATTGTTTAACTAATATTTCTCGATGTCTCTAAGATTTGCAATATGAACCCAAGTTGGAGTATATAGTATTATTTGATGAAGTGATCATAGCAACTACTGAGAAATTCGATAGTGTGACTTGCTTGAGAAATTTCAATAGAAGTAAACAAGAAATATTTGATAGATGTGAACCCTCAAATCTCAATCTTTGCGGATCGATTATAATTATAA